GTAGACCCTGACCCCTGACCCCAATCCAAGGCCTAGACATCTGACCCCAATCCCAGGCCCTGAATCCAAGGCCTTGACCCAGACCCCTGACCCCTGACCCTCATTCAAGACCCAAATGCAAGGCCTAGACCTCGACCCCTGACCCCTGACTCCAATCCCAGGCCTAGACCCAGACCCCTGACCCCAATCTCAGTCCCTGACCTCTGACCCCTGACCCCTACTCAGGGCCCCAGAATCCAATCTCTGGCCCTGACCTCTGACCCCTGACACCAATTCTAGGCCTAGACCCAGACCCCCTGACCCCAACCCAAGGTCCCAGAGACCACCATGTCTATCCCTGACCTCTGACCCCAATCCCACCTACCAGATCTTGACCCCGTGACCCCTTGACCCCTGACCCCAACCCATGGCCCCAAATCCAAGGCCCAGACCCAGTTCGCCTGACCCCTGACCCCAGTCCAAGCACCTGACCTCTGACCCCTGACCCCAAGCCAAGCACCTGACCTCTGACCCCTGACCCCAATCCAAGCACCTGACCTCTGACCCCTGACCCCAACCCAAGCACTTTACCCCTGACCCCAATACATGCATCTGACCTCTGACCCCTGACCCCAATCCAAGCACCTGACCACTGACCTCTGACCCCAACCCAAGCACCTGACCACTGACCCCAATCCTAGCACCTGACCTCTGACCCCTGACCCCAATCCAAGCACCTGACCTCTGACCCCTGACCACAAGCCTAGCACCTGACCTCTGACCCCTGACCCCAATCCACGCACCTGACCTCTGACCCCTGACCCCAACCCAAGCACCTGACCTGTAACCCATGACCCCAACCCAAGGCCCAAATCCAGGGCCCAGACCCCCATCTCCGTCCATGACCTCTGACCCCTGACCCCAACCCCAGGTCCCACAGTCCAATCTCAGACCCTGACCCCTGACCCCTGACCCCAACCCCAGGCCCCCAATCCAAGGCCCAGCCCCCGATCGCCTGACCCCTGACCCCAATCCAGGGCCCCAGACCCGCGACCTGAGCCCCCGACCCCCGACCCCACGCACGCACGCACGCACGCACGCACGCACGCACGCACCGCCTGGGTGAGGATGTCGCGCCGGCGCGGGGAGGCCGAGGCCAGGACGACGCGCTGCGCGCGCAGGCGACGCAGCGCCGGCAGCAGCGCCATGACGCCCGCCGCAGGCCGCGGGCCACGCCCCCCGCGCCCGCCACGCCCCCCGACGCACGCCCGCGCCGCCGCGCCACCCCCACGCACGCCACAGGCCGCCCGAGGGCCGAAGTCCCGCCCCGCGCCCGGCACGGGCGAATGAGCAGCCGCGCTGCCCCGCGAGGCCACGCCCACACGCACAGCGCGCGCGGCCCTGCCGGCCACGCCCACAACGGCCCAGGCAGGCCCTGGAAGCCACGCCCCCTCGGCCTGGCGGCGGCGTGGGCCTCCAACTCCGCCCCTAGGCAGCGCTGGGAGGGTCTATTTGCATAGCCACGCCCACTCTGTCGGCTGGAAATCACCATGAGCGTTATAGGAGTCAGGGAGAGCCAGGGTGCTCTGGGAAGCCACGCCCACATATGGGGGCGTAGGCTCCCCTCTAAGCCACGCCCATAAACGATCAGGCAGGGTCTGCAAACCACGCCCCCCGTTTTACCCATTGGGTGTGCTCGCAGCGAGGCTCGACCAAGAAATTTGCATAACCACGCCCAGTCAGATAGGTGGAACTCACCATGAGCGATATAGGAGTCAGGGAGAGCCAGGGTGCTCTGGGAAGCCACGCTTACTAGTGTGGCGTAGGCTCCCTTCTAAGCCACGCCCAAAAACGCCTAGGCAGGGTCCGCAAGCCACGCCCCTCGTTTTACCCATTGGGTGTGCTCGCAGCAAGGCAAGACCAGGTAATTTGCATAAGCACGCCCAGCCAGCCAGCTGGAACTCACCATGAGCGATATAGGAGTCAGGGAGAGCCAGGGTGCTCTGGAAAGCCACGCCCATGCAGGCTCTGCAAACCACGCCCCTCATTTTGCCCATTGGATAAGCCAGCAGTTCGTCCTTCACGAAGCCCAGACTAAGTAATTTGCATAACCACGCCTATTCTGCCAGCTGGAACTCACCATGAGCCACATAGTAGTCAGGAAGAGCCGCACTGCGGGAGGAAGCCACGCCCACACGCACAGCGAGGCCACGCCCACAGGCGTAGCGTACGCTCCCCTGCAAGCCACGCCCACAAAGGCCTAGACGCACAGATCCTGCCACGCTCGTTCTTTCTATTGGATGAGCCCACAGCACCGCCCCCCAGCCCAGTCCTCAGTGGATTGATTTGCATAACCACGCCCACTCGACGGACACCTTCTCACCATAAGCGATACAGGCGTCACTGGGAGCCTTGTACATTCGCACCAGACTATTCCCGCTCCCTGCCTCAGTTTCCCCAAATGCAAAAAGCCATTGGGCTCTCCCGGAAGTCCCTCCCAAGCAGGAAAAGGTGAGATTAAGACAATTATGCGCAGGCGCAGATTTTACTGGACCACGGCACGCCATAGGACGCTTAGGAGTGAAAGTCCCGCCTCCTGCCCTTCATGAGCCAATGAGTAGACGCGCTGCCCTGGGAAAGCCACGCCCACTCAGGCAGCCTACCCTCCCTCGCAAGCCACGCCCACAAACGCCCAGACGCGCACTGCTGCAGGCCACGCCCCTCACGCTCCTGACTGGGTGAGCCCCCAGCTAGGCCTGGGGAGGGTCGATTTGCATAGCCACGCCCACCGCGGCGCAGCCCCCGTGTCCTCGGGTATCCGCAGCTCACCCTAAGCGATACAGGACTCGCGGAGAGCCTTGCCCATTCCCACCGCGAGCCCTCCAGCGCCAACCTCGACTTCCCCGACCGCTGGGAGCCACGGGGCCGTCCCGGAAGTCCCTTCCGAGAGGTAAACCCACACCGGAAGTGGCTGTCATCCAGCGAGTTCTGCGCATGCGCAGATTGAAAAGTGAAGCCAAACCGGAAGTGCTGCCCATCCAGGGCGGGCCACAAAGACAGACGGAAGGACAGCCGCTGAGTGACCGCGGGGACTCGCGCACGCGCACACAGGCGAGCGGGACCCACCGGAAGTCCCGCCCTCCGCGGGAGGCGACGACCTGGAAGCCGCACGGTGGTAATTGAGCGGGAAAACGGGATTCTGGGAGCTGGGGGGGGGAAATGAGGGCGTGTGCGCATGCGCGGGGTGAGATGAGCCCTGCGCGGAAGTCCCGCCTTCGGGGGCCGGGGGCAGCGAGGAGGGACAGCCTCGGGTTGTGCGCATGCGCGGGGGTGCCTCTTGGCCGGACCGGAAGTCCCGCCTGGGGGGACTGCAGGGGGCTTCGGCGGAGGAGGGAGGCCGCGCGGGCAGAGCGCGCCTGCGCAGTGACTCGCCCTGGGAGATGGGGGGGGGGGTTGCCAGGGCAACGAGCGCAGGGGGCGTGGCCTGGACGGGACTGCAGGGGCCTAGAGGGCTCTGATTGGCGTTGCCAGGGCAACCAAGCAAGGGGCGTGGCCTGGACGGGATTGCAGGCGCCCAGAGGGCTGTGATTGGCGTTGCCACGGTAACCAGGGTAAGGGGCGTGGCCTGGATAGGAATAAAAGGGGAACTAGAGCGCTGATTGGCGTTGCCAGGGCAACCATGAGAGGGGGCGTGGCCTGGTCAGCACAGGAAGGGCCTACACGGCTCTGATTGGCGTTGCCAGGGGAACCATGGGAGGGGGCGTGGCCTGGACGGGCACGGAGGGAACGAGGGCGCTGATTGGCGTTGCCAGGGGAACCAGGCGAGGGGGCGTGGCCCGACGGGACGTGGCCGGCCCTGGTTGGTCGAGGCGCGTCCCGCGCGCCGACCGGAAACGGAAGCTCGTCACGGCCGGCCGAGGAGGCGGCTGAGTCCCGCGCACGGTGAGAGCCACGGACGGACGGACGGACGGACGGACAGAGGAGGCCAGGCGGGGTCGGGGGTCACCGCCAGGCGGGGTCGGGGGTCACGCGCGGCCTGGAGCGTGGGGGGACAGACGGGGTCACGGCGGGGTCAGGTTGGGGGGAGGGTTTTGGGGTTCGGGGTCAAGTTGGGGTCATGACGGGGTGAGGGGTCGATTTTGGGGTTCGGGGTCACGGTGGGGTCATGTGGGGGTCTGAGGAAGATGTTGGGGTGCACCGTGCATTTTGGGGTGCTGTTGGGTTACTTCGGTGGTTTTGGGGTGCAGAGGTAGTTTTTGGGGTTCGGGGTCATCTTGGGGTCTTGTTTCGAAGCTCGGGGGATTTTGGGGTTCACCATGAGTTTTCGGGGTGCAGTTGTGTTTTTGGCGTGGTTTTGGGGTGCAGGTGAGGTTTTGGGGTGCAGGTGAGGTTTTGGGGTGCAGGTGAGGTTTTGGGGTGCAGGTGAGGTTTTGGGGTGCAGGGGTCACCTTGGGGTCGTGTTGGGGTGCAGTTGAGGTTTTGGGGTTCGGGGTGAAGTTGGGGTCATATTGGAATGCTGAGGAGATTTTTGGGGTTCACCATGAATTTTTGGGGTGCTGCTGTGTTCCTGGGATGGTTTTGGGGTGCACCCAAGATTTTGGGGGTGCGGGTGGAATTTTGGGGTGCATCGTTGATTTTGGGGTGCTAATGTACTGTCTGGGTGATTTTGGGGTGCAGGGGAGGTTTTGGGGTGCAGTTGAGGTTTTGGGGTTCGGGGTCTAGTTGGGATCATACGGGAATGCTGAGGAGATTTTTGGGGTTCACCATGAATTTTTGGGGTGCTACTGTGACCCTGGGATGGTCTTGGGGTGCACCCTAGATTTTGGGGGTGCGGGTGGAATTTTGGGGTGCATCGTTGATTTTGGGGTGCTAACGTACTGTCTGGGTGATTTTGGGGTGCAGACAGGATTTTGCGGTGCAGGGATGGTTTTGGGGTGCAATGTCATCTATGGGTCGTGTTGGGTTGCATGAGACGTTTTGGGGTACACCCGTGGTTTTGGGGGTGCGGTAGCAGTTTTGGG